GCAAGGCTGTCATCTCACCCTTCAGCACCTATCCATGCACCACCAGCCCCACAGGCATACAGTGGGGCCCCAAGCCAGGAAGGGCTCCTGATGGAGACATGATGCCCCCAAGGTCAGCTTCTCCTGTGTCTTTGTCACAGAAGGTCTGAGCTAGACAGGGCCTTGGTGACCTCCTAAGTCTTCAGAACAGCGAGAGTTCTCGGAGCCATGGGGTCAGCTGGTCCTCCTCTCCCAGATGTCTTGAGCATGATCTGGAGGCAAGAATGCTCACCACTCCCATCTATTCCTGCTCTTTGGGAGGTCTGTGGGGTACCTCACCTATCTGAGGCGAGGAGAGAGATGTTCATACAAGTGGCTGAACCTGTCAATGGCTACCATCTGGAGCTTGGGTGCCCGGGAAGCAAGCAGGTTGGAGGGACATGGCCACCTGGGTGCAGCACCTGGGACTGTGGGCAGGCAGAAGCAGAGTGGTTTGAGCAGGCTATAATTTAGTGGAAGGGAAAGCCTAAAAAGAGTAGCCTGAAATTGAGGATGTATCCAGGTCTCAAGGCAGCCTTTGGGAAAGGGTAGTGGGCAGTGATGGCGGCCAGCTTCTCTCTCCTGACCTCTGGCAATGGAGTTTGCCCTGCTCTTAACACGGGTCAGGTGGCAGCAGCCTGGCTGTTTGCAAAAGCTGGGGGTGTGCAGCTGCCTTCAGAACCCCAGCTGATGCCTGGGGCCTGAAAGAGTTGGAGAGCTATGGGTTTGTGTGGGATGCAGACTGCTCCTGGCCAAGTACCCCATAGCCAGCATTAGCTGGTCCCAGCAGCCAGGAGCAGCAGTGCAAGGACCAGGATGACAGACTCCCTCAGGAGCTGTTTTTGGCCCTATTGCACAGGCCACGGTGGGCTGCTGAGATTCTTTTTACTGTGGGGCCCATCCTGTTGCAGCTCTTCCCATTGTTGGGAGCTCAGTCAACCAGATGTTTCAGCCTCCCTGGAAGTCCCACTCACTGGCTCTCCTGCGGCCACCCTGAGCCCATGTCCTCGGGTTTTCCCCCCACCCCCAAGAAGCCTGACCAAGCCTGGGAGACTCCTTGCCACTGGACATGGCCCAGGGATTTCTGGACATGGCCCCTGAGGCCGGGTTTGGGGGCAGATGCCAAGCCATCCTGCTGGCCAGGCTTAGAATGCCTCCCTTGCTTCTATCCACTGATTTCTTCTGCCCTCTGCCCTAGCCTTTGGCAGAAGTTAAAAATGCATTAATTTCAAGTGCCTAGAACAGGGCTGGAAGCAAGGAGCTCTTGGTTGCTGTAACAGATAGCTTTGCCCTCTGGGACCCACCCCCAGGTGCCTGACTGGGGCCAGCATAGCTCCCAGGGGTCCCACCCATAACAGGAAGGTCATACAGGGTGCTCCCAGCAGGTGTGATGGTTGGCACAAGACTGGGATGATCATCAGTTTGGGCACAGCGGAACAGAAGACTGGCAGAAGAGCCAGGACAGAGGGGCTGGAGCTGAGCCTTGGCACTCTTCAGGCAGTTGACCATGGGCCTCCTTCCCATGGCAACCAGCTTGACCTGCAACTAGCTCTGCTGAAGCCCAGCACATCCTGGATTTGCCTGTTCCCACAGGCAGAAAGGGCCCAATTGGTGTATAGATGTCTGTGGCCATTTAATGTGACCCAGAGATAGGTGAGCCCTAAAACGGCAGGTAGAAAACATCCATCCTGTGCAGCCCAGCCTCTTCCAAACAAAGCCAGCAGCGGCCTGACAGCCCACCCTCAGCACTTCCTGCATCCCAAGCCCACCACTCACTGGCTTGGGGATGGGAGTCCAATCTGCATCTGCTGGTTGCCCATGACAGAGAGGCTCTTCTCACTACAGCTGTGGCTGTTTTCCCCCCAGCAGGAAGGTGATCAGGTGGCAGAGAGGACCCAGGAAAAGGCTGTGGGTGGGATCTTATGGACTCCAGAGCCAGCTGTGGAAGGTCCCCATAGGAGCCTTTCAAGGAGGAGTCCGTTGGTGGGGGGAATGAATGGGGATTGCTGGGAACAGGTGGTGACAGGACAGACAACAGAACACAGGAGGGAGGGTATTCAAACCATTTACTAAAGTTCTTACCCTTCCCCAAACTGCAAAGGAGGACGTTGCCACAGCCCCACACCCAGGGTCTTGTGCACCTGAGGAGCTGCTGGGTTGAGGGATGGAGGGAGGTCCAAACCAAGTCTCTTGGTCCCCCTGGGCTCAGGGCCTGCTGATGGGGTAAAGGCCAGCTATACACATCCCCGGGCCCTCAGTCTGCCCCTCTGGAATCAGCAAAAGCTGCTGGAAAGTACAGTGGCATCCAAGACCACGAGGGACGGGGAGAGAAGTAGCATCTTTGGTCCAGTGCCCACACGGCCAAGGAACCCGCGCCCCACCCACGTCGGGGCCGGCACTGCCCTCAGAAAAACCGAGTAAGTCCTCCCAAGTGGTGTCGCCTGTTCAGGGCAGGGCACCGCCCAGGGCCCAGCGAGTAGCGGTCGGAGTGGACGGGCTGCGGAACTTCCTGGCCAGTTTTTCGGCTGGAGAACACGGCTGGCACGAGGGAACCTGCCGTGCCCGGCGCCCTCAGACGTAGTTTTTCTTGTTGTAGTCACCGCCGGCCGCGGGCCGCCGCGGCGCCGAGTACTTCACAGGGAAGCTGAGGTCGGGGCGGCCCGCGCAGACCCAGGCGCCGCAGCACACGAGGCCACCACCGCACATGAGCAGCGCCGAGGCTGCCCAGCCGATGTACAACGCCGCGCCCAGTTCGTACTTGTTCGACACGGATACATTCGGGTCGTAGAATTCGCGGACCACAATGTTGGCGAACCAGCAGAGCGGCACGAGCGCCAGCAGCCCGCAGAACGCGTAGAGCGCGCCGCCCGTGAGAGCCACGCGCGCCTTGCTGGGACCCGGGGCCACGCAGGTGGTGCACTGCGCCCCCGCCAGGGTCAGGCAGAGTGCGACCAGCGCCAGCAGGACGGCGCCCACAGTGAGCGCCCGCGCCGCCTGCACCTCGGTGCTCAGCGCCAACACCGAGTCATACACCTTGCACTGCATGTGCCCCGTGCTCTGCACCACGCACGACATCCACAGCCCTTTCCAGGTGGTCTGCGCCGTCACGATGTTGTGGTCCAGGAAAGCCGTCACCTGCCACATGGGCAGCCCGCACGCCAAGATCAGGCCCACCCAGCCCATCAGGCACAGCACCAGGCCAAGGATCTCCAGCGCTGCCGACCCCATGGCTGGAGGTGAGACGCGCGCCCGACGGCCCCGGGACCTCCACGGGGGGCTCGGCGGTGCCTTGGCTGAGCAGGTCGGCGCCCCGCGTTGATCCTGGTGCCTTTGCGCTCGCACTCTGGCTCACTGCCCTCTATGAGCTCGCTCCACTGGCCTGCAGCACAACCTCGCGTCTGCCGGCACCTCCCGGGGTCCTTCCCATTTGAAGGTTCGGGGGGCGGACTCGGGTTCGGCCTCCCAGCAGGAGCAGCCAATCCGCGCTCGAGCCATCGGCCGGTAGCCAATCATGACGCCCCCCAGCAGCTGGCAGATAGGAAAATTACCGCGCGAGTGAGGATAACGGAGTGCGGTGGGACCCCTCCTCACCGGGCTGCCACCCCCAAGCCTCCACCGCAGTTGTCTAGTCGGGGCAGAGCGCATTCCGGATTGGCCTGGGGCGGCTGCGCGCGCTCCACCTGCCACCTCCCTGCATGTCCCCGCCTTGCCATTTTGGGAGCTACATGATCCCCAACTTCCTCCGCCACTTCCTGGAACAAGTCTGATGGTCCCTACCCCCAAGCCAGCTCCACTCTTCCCTGCCAAGGTCTGAGGGACTCCCCACCATCACCCCTACGCAGAGGCCTGCGTGGGGGACTCTCGTAGCCTCTTCTGGGTTAGCCAAGCACAGCTCGGCCTATTCCTCCAGGAAGCTCGCCCAGGAGGCTAACCGGGATCCAGGCCCCTTCACGGCATCCTTACTGCGCGGCGCCCCTCTGAGCCTTGTCGCTCTCTCCCACAGGCTGAGAGGCCAGGCAGGATTGTGCGAGTCGGGCTGGCCTACCTCGTCCAAGGCCCTTCCCAGTGCCACTGCCCCCCCCCACACACTATGCCCCTGCCCCAGAGACTTCCCAGACCTCTCAACAATCCCGAGGACTGCTCCTCTTTCTGAGATGCTGCCCATCCCCCATCCTGGGAAGCTCAGCCCCGGCGACACCACTTCAGGAAGTCCCCAGTGTTCCCCAATGACCCAGCATACAGGTTGTACTGGCAGGAGCAGCGGTGGCCCAGGCTCCAAGGCCTACTCTGACCCTCAGACAGGAGAGACACAAAGGGACAGAGGGGCTGTGCTCTGCCTTCCTAACAGTGGCTACCCTGGCACCCCAGCCCCCAGACCGCCCTCTGGAAGCCAACTTGGAGTTTCCTGGCCAGGAGGAAGAGCCCCCATCCTCGCTAGAGGAGGGAGGTGCGGGATTTCCGGGCATTCTTCTGCACAATGGCCCAGCAGTTTCTCGAAAGGCCCACCGGCATGAACACTGGGGCCCCCCTGGGGCTCAGGTGGGGCATCAGGCCCTGCAGCCTGCAACCCCACCGGGCCACCAGCCCCTTTTTGTCAGCCCCCTCTCCACTCCCTGTCAGCCCCTTTGTTTCTGGTAAAGTCTACTCTGTCCTGGACTGGGGCCCCCAGTATGCCTGTGCTTTCCTATGGTCCGAGGTGCTTGGCTCTGCTAGACAGGGCCCTCCAGAGGGAAGACTGGTGTTGAGGCCAGCCACAGCCTGGGAGCCCTGTCAAAGCTATCGCTCCTGGGCCCTGGTTCCTTCTCCTTCCTCAGGAGGCTCTGAGATAAGGCCAATACCCTGTTCCTCCAGCACGGGGAGGTAAGGCAAGTTTGCTGGGCCCTGTGGGCAGGGGTGGGATGTAGGGGGAAGTTTTACCCCCCTCCTTGCCCCCAGCTCACCTCCAAGCACCAAGAATCACTGTGTCCTCCCAGCCACCACTTCACTGACTGCTACCTTCCTGCTGCAAGCCATGAGCCACTCTCCTGCCACCCTGCAGACCCTCCTGGTCATTGCGTCTCCCATCCACTCCAGGGGGTCCAGCTAATACCTAACCCACCCTACCCTCTCTATCCTGCTTCCCCTAGCCCAAGTCCAGGGACCTTGCCCAGGGTCCCCCTGCCACACTGCACACTGCTTTCTTCCCATGACCACCTCCAAGGCCTCAGACTATCTGGGCTCCACCCTTGCCCACTGGGCTGTTCTCAGGGCAGCTGGGCCATCCCAGCAGGCCCCTCCCCTGGCTCACCCTCTGCCTAAAACCCTCCAGGGCTTTCACTGCCCATGGACAAAGTGCTGACTACTGGGAGTGGCCTAGGGTGCCTGGCTATGTTGGGCCCGACAGCTCCAGCAGCGCATACCCCGTGCTGCACCCAGACTTGCCTCCCTCTGGGCCCTCAGGCTGGTCTGTCTCACCCACCGATAGCCTCTTCTGCCTTAAGCGCTTGTCCCTTGGCTTAGGGCCTGCTCATCTTCTACACTGTGTTGCTGCGGCCACTTCTTCTCAGAGGCCTTTTGCCCAGTCCCCTAGCCTTGCTCCCAGAGGCCCAAGCTGGAACTGCCCATCTGCTTGTTGGTTTTCCTCACCAGTATCCACAAACGAATTTCAACACAGTGGCCAGTTTCATGCATCTGTACCAGGTAGGGGGCTGCCTGCTGCCCCTCCAGCCAGCTTGGGTGGCAGCCGCATGAGGCTCTTCCCCTTCACCTGCCCACCCTCTCTCTACCACTTTGGGGCCCATCCTGGGGTCCACCTCCAGCCTGGCACCCCATGGTGCCCTCAGTGATCCCACGACTCTTTGGGATAGCCCCACAATATCTTGGGGACCATAGTATCCTGTGGGTGTCAGGTTCCACTTATCACAATCTGATTTCTACCGCAATATCACTGTATTGGTTGTAGTCCTGGCCCACAGTGGAACCAAAGCCACCACAGGGAGGCCCAGCCCATACCAGGGGTGGAGGGGGGAGGAGGTGGGGAGGGGAGGCATGAGGACAGCCCACCCTTCCTTCCACTCAGGAGGATCTCCTGACCACTTATTGTGTGCAGAGCACATTCTCTAGTGGAGCACAATGCAGGGAGCTCCCACCCTTAGCCAGTAATTGGGTAAGGCCCTTTCAGGTGTGCCTGTGGCCTGGGACAGAGCAGTGTGGTGTGGAGTGATGGCCTCTCGGAGGAGCTGACAGCTCAGCCAAGATCTGGGAAGAAGTTCGAGCAAGAGCCCAGAGGTAGGAAGGGGCAGAGCTCCAAGGGGCAGATGGAGGCTGGCTTGCTGAGGCCATATGGGTAGGAGGGGGCCTGCAAGCCGAGTTCAGAGGGGTTCCGGGGCTGGGCAGCGACGTCAATCCCTGATCTGTGGCAAGGGGCTCCCGCCGCCAAGGCCACCTGCTCATCTACGGCCATTGTTCTCTTTCCCAGGGGAAGTGCAGCAGGATCTCATTAATTGTGTGAGGGAAAGGCCTGAGTCAGCAGAAAAGCAAAATTATCTTGAGCAGCTGCTGGCTGACCCCAAGCCAGGGTTATCCGGTGACCTTCCAAGGACAATCTAAATTTAGGCTCCAAAGTCCTTGGGTTGGGGTTTGGGAAGCTCCTAGTTAAGGGATTTCATTTCAGAGGAAGTGAAAAACATTCCTTCTATCTTTCGGCTTTGAAATAGTTAAGGATGTTTCCCTCCTATAGCAGCAGATGTTTCTTGGAACAAGACAGTGCTTCCAGGGGCAGCTCTGGTTCCTGGTGTCACCCTGCCTCCTCTGGGGGCCTGAGGCGCTCTGCATGTGAGGGCCACCACCTGCACCCATGCGCAGTACACCCTTTGACAAACAGCCAGTGAAGTCACAATTCAGACTAGTGAGTTGGCCTCTCCTTGCCTTAGTTTCAGCATTGGTTATGAAGTCCTTTGTGGGGGGGGGGGCTGCAAGTTGGAGGGGAGGCTATCGCTGATCCTGGGTCCTCTGCTGCCATTCCTGAGCGCCCTCCAGGTGGCTGAGACACCGTTCCTGGCTCCCTTGACCTTAACAACTCATCTGACTTCAGTCCTGTCCCTGAGAGCAGGTGCCACTGGCTGTCAGATTGGAGGGCACTGTAGGGCTTTACCTTCCCCGGTGGGGGCAGGGAGCTCTGGTCGAGAGAGCCCCAGGGTGTTGTAGACCTCTGTGCCTTCTCTACTGCACCAGATGGTGGTCTCTGCGTGGTCCAGCCGCCATCCCAGGAGCCTGGGGGAGGCCAGCCAACGCTCCGTGAAATAGCAGCAGTGCCCTCTGCCCCCCACCCCTCCCTGCTTGTGCCTGTGCTGCTTCCATGGCCTCTCCCAACCTTCTCCTTCTCAGATTCCTTCCTTCTCTGCATTTTGTAACAATTTTATACTCTTTCCACTTAAAATCATAGGGTGATTCTGGATCCTCCTTTTTCATTTAGCATCATATTGTAAACATGTCCCTACTTTGTTAAAAACATCCTCCTCTTGGCTGTTGTTGTTTCTAACTGCCTGCAAGACGGCCTTGGGCAGTCTGTTCTGAGGGTCTGTAAAATGGGCTCGACATCAAAGGATTGTCAAAGGGCTTAGTGGACAGCATGTTTTGGCTCAGGGTGGAAGCTGGGTTGACTTTGATTATTTTGGTTATACACCCGGTCCCTCAAGACAGTTTTATAAATGACATTTCTTATTATAAATAAGGCTGCTATGAACGTCATCATTCATAAGCCTTGGTATTTGGGATGGTTTCCTCAGGAACCCTTCTTTGAAGTAAAATTTCTGACTCACACCCAGGAGGTTGTGTCACCTGGACCTCTTATCCGAGTGTGTTTTCACTGCCTGTCACCAGTGATGGATATTCAGTTTTAAAAGTTTTCTAATTGGATAGATAGAAAATGGTATCTTACTTTTATTTGCATTTCTTTGGACAGTAATGAGTTTAAATTTAAAATTTTTTTTAAATTTTATTTTTCAATTACGGTCGACATTCAATATTATATTAGTTTTAAGTGTTACATTTTCTTTTCCAGTTTATATGGTTCATTTTTATTTCCTCTTTAATGAATTGCCAATGTACCCACATAGAACATTGGTGTTTTTCTCACTTTTTATGTTAGAAACATTACTTGCTATCATATATGTGGCACATCCTTTTGCCATTTGCTACATAATCTATTAATGATTTTTTTCAGGATGTTACAGATTTAAAAAATTTTTAGAAATATCTTCCTTTTATTGATTTCAGAGAGAGGAAGGGAGGGGGAGAGATAGAAACATCAATGAAAAAGAATCATCAATCAGCTGCTTCCCACATGCCCTCCTACTGGGGATCAAGCCCG